CAGTTGCAGACATTTTGTTTCGTGGACTTGCTGTTCCAGTATGAAACATGGTTTCTAACAAACCTTTTACTTGAGGCGTGAGTCGTTTGACTGATGTTTTCCTTTTCTTTTGCTTTTCTTTAAGATACCAACCGGCGATGAATTTTTGACAACTAATATATAAAAGTATAAGAGAAGAATTCTGAATGGAACAAAGTAAGTGATAAGTGATATAATGAAGAAACAAAAGAGAACGAAATTAGAAAAAAGTATTGAAAGTAAGTGAAAAGAAAAATTATAAAGGGAAGTGAAAGGAAAGAACAAAGGTAAGAAAAAGGCCAAGAAAGAGTTAGGGGTGAAGCAATAGAAAAAAAATAAGAAAATGAGGATAATATGGAAAGAAACAAGAGTGTAAAAAAAAATAATAATAAGGAAAAGAACAAAAAGCGAAAGGAAAAAAATAAGGAGGAAGGCGAAAATGAGAAGGAATTAAGGTGTGAAAAAAGATGAAAAATAAAAAGAAATGTGAAAGGCAAAATATAAATAAATATAAAATATAAAGTGCTACAAATAAATAAAAGTAAACGAAATGGAAAATGAAAGATGTAGATGAAAGTGTAAAGATAAATAAAATTGAAAAAATAAATAGTGAGAAATCAAATGAGATCGTAAAAAATAAAGTAAAAATACATAAATAAAGATATAATAAATAAACTGAAAATTTAAAACATGAATATGAATGAATTGAATAAAAATTTGTAATATAAATAGATGCGAAAAACATGATCAAAAGTAGACAATGAATAAAAAGTATGAATATAGACGAAAGCGTAAGGCATAGCGAAAATATGAAATTCAGTGAATATTTGATAAATTCGATAAATTCGCAAAAAAATAAAAATAAAAAATAAAACTATAACCCTTCAGATTCGGTATAAATTTCTATTTCTGCTGTATTGGTCAAGTCGATTGTTTTCTGGATTATAAGCGGCTATTTTTAGCTATTTGTTTATTGAGTACGAAAAAATTTTAGCAAATTACATATGAGATCATCATTTTTGTCTTTATTTACTAACTTTTTATTCGACGAAAATATAAAATTATATAATTAGTATTAATATTCAAACAGAGATATTACTATAAGTTACCAAGTGCCAGATAATAATTCTATTGCTAATAAGGCCAGACCCACTTTATTTTCTGATTAACATTAGATGACTTGTAAGAAAGGGTGGGTATTGAAAAGAAACATATATTGATATTATATAAAAACCAGTACAGTGAAACCTCTCTAGATACACTCTCTTTAAATGCACAAACTCTCTAAATGCATTCTTAAATTCTGAAACATCCTTAATCTCTTTATGATCAACCAAAGAAGTTTTTCCATTTTCAGAAACACTAGATACAAAATCTGGAGGCATAATCATGTGAGATTCAATCATCGATTGTTCTTGTCTAATCGAATTCAACACTTGAATGACCAAGGCTTTGAAAGCGTATTGATAGGAAGATTGAACAGTAGACATTTCATTGATGTGGCCCGAACATATCTTAACCTTCATAAGTGCGCTTTTACTTACTATTTTCTAAATGCGTATTATAAAAATTTGGTTCTTATAAGCTGCATTTGGAGAGGTATAACTGCACTGTGAATTTCTTTGCTAATTAAATGTGTATAGATTTAAAAATAGAGGAAATTGGTTGCTAGGAAAATCTCTATTTGACATTTTTCGATCGGGCTAATTCTGGTTCTTACTTGCATGTAAATCATCTTTTGTTTTTATTTGACAATAGTTTATCAAATAAACTATTGAGTTAATAAAGG